TATGACTCTGACTGTAACTGTGACTCTGACTCGCATGCTGAATGCGACTCGAAATATAACAATACATAAGAGTTACTTATGGAACTTTTGCTTCCTTTGAGCCACAATTTAAATTAAACACTTTTTCAAGCGTTCGCTGTCTTTGTGCTGCGATTGTTTCAGCTGCAATGAAAACTGTTATTTGTGAGAGTGTATGTGAGTTTGTGCGAGTGTGTGTGTGCGAGTTAGCTTAAATGCGCTTCTCGTCCGTCGTTTTTTGCCGCTCTTTCGCTTTTAATTCGTAAATTCAAAAGTTCGGAAGCTGTTAATAATGTGGACAGGCGCACGACACGAAGTATTTCATTAGAGCAACGATGGACGCCATGGACGGCACTTGAACGGCACTCGTCATTGGCGCGCTCCTAATTCCATTTCCATTTAAATGCTTCATTTTTGGCTGGCCAGCGCCACGCTTCAGACAGCCAAAGTGTTAAAAGCAATTACAGTGCGCGCCCGAGCAAATGAAAGAAAAACTAATTAAATCCTTTGTGCAACAAAGCGAACGACGCGCAGCGCATTGCAAAATGAAACCAAAGTGTGGCACGCTTAATGCGATTGATATGTATATATATCTATATATATGTATGTGTGTATAGATGTATGTGTGCATGCATGTGTGCTCGCTCAATGCTAATGCCAATGCTAATGCTAATGTTAGTTTTATAGGCGAATGATTAACAGGTCGTCACTTATCTGTTATGCTTGACCCGGGTAAGCAGATGCTCAGCGACTCAGATGCTATCACAATGGCTTTGCATAATGATGCGGCTGCTGCTGCTCCTGCTCCTGCTCCTGCTCCTGCTGCTCCGCTGCTCCGCTGCTGCTGCTGCTCTAATGCCATGCAAATCGATGCCTTCGCCCAGTTGTCTGCAATGCGGCAAACCGGCTTCCAAAATATCGTTTCGGTTATGTAAATGCCAGCAGCGAATCAATATGCTTTCGTTTTCAGCATAAATGCCACATAAACGACATCCATCTAGATGTAAGTGTGCTTAAGTTATGCATTTGTATACCCTGTGCACAAGAGCTGCGTGAAATGGGGTATGACACTCTGCAGAGATGACAGAGATTTGGTTCCCTTGTCTCCTTTAAGTGAAGTTTTATATAAAGAGCGCGCATCAACTAAGTTCCCATCTTCACTCACTTCTCTCGGGATGGGTCAACTCTAAGTCGAGTACTTATTCATTAGAGTTAACAATGTCAAGCGAGAAAGATGAACAGATAAGCACAGAAAGAGAGAGAGAGGGCGTGCGGGCAAGAGAGAGAGATTGAGAGAGAGCGACCTGTGTGACAGTTTGGCTCATAAATTGTAGTGTTGAAAAAGCGCCAAGTAGAGTTAAGTGGAAAGCGTGTTGGTCAGGTGCATTCGCCAGGTTAGGTTGCCACGCATACAGCTGCTCTGTCAACTGCTCTCTCTCTCTCTCTCTCTCTCTCCCTCTACATTGCCTCGAGTTGCACTGATTTATGCCAATCACGATTCGCTAATAACTCAGTGGCAAAGCGACGAGAGCTGCCCTCAACGATGTTGTTATTGTTATTGTTGTTGTCATTGCGGTTGGAGCTGCTTTTGCTGCTGTTGCTGCTGTTGCTGCTGTTGTTGCTGTTGTTGTTGCCACAGGTCCTGTCATAATGACAGTCATTTGAGGGTTAAATTGGATATGCCTCTTGCGTTGACAAGTCGGTCACGTGCGTCGCCCCAAAGAGGCGCACATAATTGACGTTTCATTAGCAGCATTTTTAAGCGCATTACCATGTAAATATCTATCAGTCATGAGCCAAGGAGAGCCTTAAAAACGAAGCACAGTTTAAAGTGAAACCCCATAATTAACACAGGGTCACCCAATGCTGACGTGAATTCGGCTTGGTCAAGTCGTAAAAACCCATATTAGCTTTAATAGACGCAGCGCATATCAAATTGAACTTGTTAATGTAGCCGGCCTATCCCACAAAACAGAACCACACACACACACACACACACACATACACACGCACATTGAGTCGAAATGAGGACAAATTTAATAAATGATCAAGGATTCAACAGCAATTTATGGCATAATGATGTTTGAGTGGAACCAAATGAAATAGACACAAGGCTATCTATATACCTCTCTCTCTCTCTCTCACTCTCTTTCTCTGTGTGGAACCTCTTTATACCCTGTCCTTTGACCTATGACCATATTTTATGTAAATTACGGGATTATACTGTGATTTGGAACAACTTACAGCTGCTGGCCAGAAGCCATATCTGGGACGACCTTCTCTAATGCATTTGCAGGCAAACAGCCTGTCTCAATTTGTGCCCCATGGCAGAGGTGTTGATGTGTGTGTGTGGGCGTGTGTGTGTGTATGGCAGTTTGTAAAGCTTTCGCTATTAAATTGGACAGCAGTTCGTTATTTTTTTTTTTCTTCTATTTTTTGTGTGGCCCTCAATGTGATTAATGGCTTGAAAACTTGTTTTCTAATTATTTAACACCCAGAAACTACGACAATTAATTATGTGGCTCAACAATAAAAGTTCTGGCCGACATTGTGGGCGACGCAGACACAAATACAGCCATTGCACCAGCGACAACAGCAACAGCAACTGCAACAACAACAAGAACAACTACTACTACCACGGCAACAGTAAATTTTATTGTTCGCACTCACATGGACAACGCACACAATTTGTCCCTCGGGGACACAATTTGGTGTACTATTTCCTATGTTTATTTTTTGCGAAGCAACCAACATGAAATTGTTGAATTCGCCAAGCACACATATACAAATAGATATATGCTATATATATGTACATATGTATATGCCTGCCATGCGTATGCGTTAATTGTTTTTATGGCCAACACACACACACACACACACACACACACATTTGCACATGGTTACACATTGGCGCTCACATACATTAAAAAGTTTTTAATTAAACACAATTGTGACAATTTATTTAAACGGGCTCATTGCATATTGCATTTAGCCAAACGCATTTAGTTGATTTTAATGTCAAGCAGCGCCCCAACCGATGCTCCTTACAAATCGGAAATAAAAAGCGCCAAAGCAAACAATAAAAGCGAAAAAGCCAACAAATCCACAAAAGTGCGTGGCGCCAGCAAGTCAAAGGCCAAGTGGAGGCAGCCATGGCAGTCGAAAAAAGAAATCTGCTTAAAACAATTACATTTCAGCATAATTGGCTTTAATTGCTGGCAGCGCCCACTTTTGCTGGCAGCGCCTCGACTGAGGGTCATAATGGCATCTATCAGTGGGGGCGTCAGTCGAGAAGTCGTCGAGGGCCGTTCAGAGGCGAGAATACGGAAACGGAAACAAGCAATTTTGCGGCAAAGTTACGAGTGCCACAGACAACAGCAGCAACAGAAACAACAACAACAGCAACAACAACAATGGCAACAGCAACATCAACATCAAGAATATAAAGCTGTGCCACAACAATAAGCCAGACAACAACAACAACAACCACCGCCACAGCCGCAGAGTAAAGTAAAACCGAGCTAGGGATGCTCATTAAACTGTATAAATAGGATGATGGGAGTAAGAGTTGGAGCTGTAGCAGGAGCAGGAAGTGTGGCAGAACAACCTAAAAAGTGTTGCAAACTTTTGCGTTAGTGTTGCACAGTAAACTTGCTTAGAGAGTGTTGCAAATGTTTGCGGCTAGTTTGCTGGCCAATTGGTCAACAAGCCAAAGCCAGGAACCAAAACTTAATCGTCTCAGCTCAACTTTAGTGCATAAGCCATCAGTCTTAATTGATTAGGAATCGCGACCTAATCAAATACCGTAAATCGTTTAACAGCCGCACTAAGCTGCCCAGCTGATATATGTATAAACATACATACATGTATATATAAATGTGTTATATGGAGACAACGCTTGGCTGATGGCAGCTGCTAATTAGAAATGTGTAGAAAATTTGAAGAGGAAACACAGCAAAACTTAACAGACAGTCCCGGCGGAACGGTTGCGGAATGTTGCGCGTTCATTGTTCGGGCTTAAATAGCTGCAGCTCATAATGAGCCAGACCCAGAGGAGCTCTGTCCGCTCCCTCTCTCTCTCTGTCTCTCTCCCCCTCCATATTGCTGCTTAAGAGGGCAACGCATTGTGGCAAGTTGAACATTTTGTGGTGCGCCGGCGTCTTTTTGTCTAGTCGTGCCTCATTGTTGGCTGCATAAATGTTTAGCTCAAGCAGCGTTAATTAATTGTTTAAGTACTTCACCCTCCACTGGCAGCTATTCTGGGTGGCTATTCGTGGCGTATACGAAGCTCGCTGCAGAAAACCCTGCCCCCTCCCCCATCCCTCACACACACACACACACATCTGTCTAGTAAATTACTTTCGCACACTTACAAGTGTCATCATTCTGTGTGGCATGTTGTTTCCCATTGCCCAAATGAGACCACATAAACTGCACTCGCAGTTTGTCAGCGCCACGCTCCAGCAGCAACAACAATAGCAACAACAATAGCAACAATGCATTGTGCATTTCAATGAAACTCATTTAGATATAAATGTGTATATATATGACATCGTAAAGCCACCAACACCAGTCGACGTATATTTACTTTTTGTGCTCTTCAAATTAAGTTTTATATTGGATACTAAATGGAATATTAGAAATGTAGCATGGTAGGCGAAATAATGGAGATATGATAAATAGAATATTAGAATTATCGACTGATTTGCTGTCTCTTTTTGTACTCTAGGTAAAGATGTCTAAGACATAACTTCAAGAGATGATCTAAAGAATTGGAATGTATGTATACATATCTGATGTGGCACAGCTCCGACTCCTTATAAATATTGTATGAAATTTATGCTGCTATTAAATGTTTCTTCTCAACTAATGAGGCATCTGCATATCGCTTTTTCAATTAAACAACTTGAAGTGAAGTTTCATCAACTATCAAGTAGCTCCATAGCCATTTCGCACCAAAAGGAGATAAAAGCACCAACAACTGCATCAATCAAGGCATATCAAGATATGCCATACATACATATATTCGACAGACTAACACATATTGTAAACATTTTTTTGTTTTTTTTGTTGTTGTTTTTTTTCACACTTTTCTGTAGCAGCTCCATTTGTTTGCATTCACTCAGAGATGAGTGCATAATTGGAACAATATCCGTTTACTTAGACTGTTTACGTGGTCTTTGTGCTGCAGCACTGCTCCTTGGTGCCCGTTTTGCAGACGCACTTGCAGTCCTGATTGCACGAGCAATTGTCGCCGCACTTGGAGTCGCTGCACTTGCAGTCTGCGCAGGTGAGATAATTCATGGCCATCAATGAGTATAAGGTGAAAATCATATATATTTTGTTTTTTGTATTTTGTATACTCACTTGTGCCACAGCCCTTGCAAACCATTTTCGAGTTGCCTTTAAAAGTATTTCGAAGTATTTCGTATTTCGGGGTTCTCCCTTAAGAATTTACTGGCTTTTACAACAATTTCACTGAACTTATTTATAGCTGCCGTTGGTTGGCCGAGTGCCGAGTGCCGAGTGCAGAGGAAAGTATTTTTGCACTCAGTTGAATATTCATTCAGCGGGTGGGCTCGGCGTGTGCAAAATCAACAAAAACGTGTGCAATGCATTTCGATGCGAGCTCACCTCAATCAGTCAACAAAAGATAAGAAGAATGCGATAAGAATGCCATGAGCTGTTGGCTCAACGAACAATTTCTCCAGTTAGTCCCATCAGTCAGTCGGACACTCTCTTATACAGTGGTGGGTAAGCCCGAGTGTGGTTGTCCTAATTATGACATCATCATAATTGCTTTGGCCCACTGAAATGCTGTCCCAATATTAGGCGTCGGTGGTGGCGCGCTTAGTTGGAGTGAAATTACCGCAAATTGCGAAAGTTTTTAATTGTTTATCTCGCCAGACGCTGTGGCTGTGGCTGTGGCTGTAGCAGTGCCCGCAACATTAGTGCAACATGGCAGCCGCGGAGGGGCAGGATACGCTGCTGCGGCATTGTCCTTGCCGCAATCACAAAACAGAAATCTTCTCGAGCGGATGTTTTGTAATTTGGCTTGTGCTTCTGCCTTGAGTGGGCTGCAGCTGGATGAGGTCAAATTATTAATTTAATATGTATCCGCGCTGCTCGGACTTCGACTTCCGCTGTAGCAGCAGCAACAACTCCTTTGGCCAGCTCAAATTTGTTGTTTGAAAAGTTAGCGGGCGAGCCCGCAGCGTCTCGCAGCGTCCTCGACCCGAACCAACCCGACCCGACCTGTGGCACAGTTGCCACAAACTTTGCACCATTTCCGCTGCGGCACGGCCCACTTCCGCGTGTCCACTTGCAGTGCCTGCTGCCCCACTGTCCCGCCCACCAGCCTGATTAACGTTTAAACTCATTAAGATAACGCAATTTTTGGCGTTCTGCTTAATTTTGCTGTCGCAGCTGCCACCATCACAGCCAGAGCGGACCGTGCCAAAGGTCAGCGAGTTGGAAATCTGAAATCTTGAGTCTTGAATCTGTTGCCATTGTCTGGCGCTCGCTAGTAATTGGTTTGTAAACAATTTCGCTTGCCCTTTGACAATTTGCCCGGCCATTTTGTTGTTTGGCTAATTGCAAGAGCCGAGCACTCGAGCCACTGAAGGCATCTTAGCCAAAAAACCTTAAAATTGTAATTTGAAATTGGCCCTGGCCAAGTGCCGCTTAAAGTGCTGCCATTATGGACCATTAGATCTATTTATCATATGTTCACGCTCAATTACGGCCTGTGGCGGGCAGTTCTTTGATAACGGACCGTTTCAATAATTACCCTGACCAGACCCAGCTCGGTGCGCAGCAGCTTGGCTAACTATGTTTACATGCCAATCAGCTCGCAATTGCGATTTATCGGCGAGTTTGTTTATGTGTCCAAATATTTATTTATCCCCCATGTCGCAATGCATTATTTCCATGTGATTTATGGACTAATACTAAATGGACTTATGCCAAAGCTGTTGTGAAATGTGTTATATATTTTATGGCACATAAATGTGTGCAGCTCAATTTAAGCGCTCAGCGGCAAAAATAGATGAGTCCTTGCTGAAGCAGATTATCTAATTGTAGCTATTGAGCATTAACTGCGAATACTGGCACGAATTAAGAGCCTCGACTGCTCATTAAGTTTACGCACGGATTGTTGTTGTTGTTGGCCCAAATACGGGTTAGTTAGTCTGCCAAAAATAGGCAAAATCGCAACAACCGTCCAGTTATCAACGCAATTCATAAAAGCACTAAAACAATTTCAATTGTACAACTCATCAACGGGCTGGGGACACACTTGCAGCACTGGGAATGGGCTCCGTCATGTGGTCAAACAACCGACTAACCAACAACAGCAACAACAACGACAAAGGATAAACGACAAGCCTGATGGAACTTCACGCATAAACCGAAAAATAGGAAAATGTTGAGCGACATCGCACTGAAACAGCTGCTGCCCGGCTCAGTTGTGGTTGCAGTTCATGGCAACGATTCCCAGCGTACACTGAAATCCTTCGCACACACACTCATACGCTTGCACACGCTCACACAATGACACACTTGCGCACACATGCACGCATAGGCATGTAACGGTCCCAAAAATGTTCTGCAATATGCGTCGAGGGGAAAATTCATCATAAATTTTATGCGGCAGCATGAGAGCCAAAGCTAAACGCAAACTTTTCATATGCTGTTCAAAAAGTGTCGCAACTGCTGCCAGAGATTCGCATACCCTGGACACGAAGCCAGATAGAAGTAGTAAAGCTGCGAAGCCGACAACAGATTTGACTGGTATAATCTGGAATAAGGGAATTATGGCGAGTCTTTTTTGATTCCAATTAAATATATTGTAGATATTTAAAATCCAAAAAATATTAGTATATAATATATAAAATCAACTGATTTATATAAAATGTATATATTTAAATTTTTAAATTAATTAGACACATTTATCGAGCCATATAAATTTAATTATTATTTATTTATAAATTTATAAAAATGTATTTGTTTAGTCTGTAAGCAATTTCAACAACAAAACATCATGAAGTAGAGAATCTACTATCCAAAATCCTCGCAGATCCTTATAAGCATTGTACAAGCTATTAGAATTGAGTAAAATATCCAACGAACTATCGCAAAATTTAATATCAGTCAATACTATCGCAACACAACTACAATAAGCATTGATAAAATAAGAATAAGAAAAAGGATCGCAAAGGACATACACAGCTACACTCCCAGCTCAAGCAACTCCTTTCAGGCTTACACAATATCAGAAATGTATTCAAGGATATCTGCTAGTCGAGCGTATACTCGGCATATATGTAGCGATATTGCAATTCGCCGCAATTCGAAACGGCCTGATGTCAAATGTAAATTGCTCAAAGAAATGATGGCAATATAACTAACAGTTCAGAACGCAAACCCAAAAAGGATTTGTTTGCCAGCAACGATGTTAATCCAATTTGTGATTTGCATAGAAGCCAAAACGAGAATAACTGTTGTTTTACAAGCACCAAACGCAAACATCTAACGGCGTACGGCTTACTGCCAGCTTTGAGCCAGCTGTGCAATTTCTTAGAGGTCAAGTGTCAGTTCTCGAGGACGCTCCGCATTCCAACTACTTATGCACAGAGCGCTGCCTCTGCTCGAGCACATTTTATGACAATCACAAGCTCTCGTGCCAGGCTCCATCATGATTATTTGCCATTGGCAACATGATGCTCTCGCTCGATAGCATATTTGTCAGTATTAAGCCGGCAATTGGCTCTGTCGTCGAGTGCCATCAATTGAAATTGCATCGTATCAAAAGTTATAAGTTTTCATTACGCGCTGACGTTCAATATGGCGCGCAACTAATACATCAGCCAACACACATACACGCACACACACACACACACACAGAGACGCACAAAAGTTTGTCAGCAAATGACATGCATTGACGACGGCGATGACTCTAAGGATCGCGCAAAAACGTATGCAACACTTGACGACGCAGCCAATGTCACAATTATCTAGAGCCAAGCGGGCTGCGAGGTGTGATATATACTATCTATCTATATATATATACTTTATATATATATTGCTACAGCTTAACGCTTGATGGCGCGGTGGCTGGTTGGCTGACACGGGAAATCACTAGAGCAAGTTTTTTAATGGAATCAAATCAAATTGTTCGGAAGCTGTAAAAAGCGATTGCACGGAAACATTTTGAGTTGTTGACAGGCGACAACCGCCAAGGTGCAAACACGCCCAACAAAAAACTTGCCAAAGTTTCGAAAACGACTATGACCGACAACAACAACGAAAGAGCGAAAAGTAGAGAGAGAGAGAGAGAGACGTGTAAAAGGGAAACAGCAGAAGAGGGAAACGCGTCATAAGTACATGCTCGAGTCCTGACAGCAGTCACACGACCCCAACGTCAATGGAGCGTCAAGAGTGCTTCCACTGTGCAGAGCTGCGTCTCCACTGCCACGCCCACTTTAAAGGCAGAGCCACTTTTTAGTGGCAGCTGTGATTGGGCCAGGTGAGCAAAAGTTGTGCGAACAGTCATCGCTTGGCTCGGATCGTTTATAGGGCCCATAAGTTGACGCTCGCCCGCTGCACTTTGCCAACTTGACTGCAAGGCCATAAAAATATACCATAAAGCCTGTCGCCCAAGCTGCTTCCGGGCCACTCAAAGAGCCGTTAATCAACTGAGGCAGCCTGCTGGCAAGCCAGCACTAGCTGGCGGTCCAGCTAATAATTCTTGTTGACACCCGAGTAAGTTATGCCCATTGAACTTGAGCAGCTGCAAATTAAGCCAATCAATTCATTAGCAGCTCCCGTCTCGCACCTCGCACCACGCACCACGCACCACACATTGCGTCCTTGCCGTTGTCCCGATGGCAACTTTGAGTGCCACTCGCGCTGCTGCGCATGAAAATTAAATTGTCGCCTACAATGGCAAACAAATTTTGCTCAAATGCAATCCAAATTGCAACAGACACTGTCACACGGAGCGAGCAAGAGAGCGAGTGAGAGAGAGGGTGGCGGGGGCAAGTGGTGCAGCACCCGCAGCGCATTACCTTTGTCTTAGTTCGTGGCTTGCAGATTAATTGCCAATGAGTGTGTACAAGTTCGAGTAGAAAAGTTTTTCAGAGTTTTCCCTGTTCAGTCGATTGTTCCGTTACAGCTTCCCGTTGCCCTTCCCCTTGCCCCTGCCCATACATTTCCACAGCCCTTGTCTCTGCTGGTCTCCTCAGCTCGGATTCGCTCCATGTGACATCCGAACGGGGACCACGTGCATTTTATCTCTGCTCCGAACTCAACACAATTCGAGGTTTTTGAGGTGAAACAAATTTCCGGTGACATAAACTTAATTAGCTTTTGTTCGGGCTTTTGTTTTATGGTTTTGCGGGCACAACTCAACTTAGTGTGCGTGAGTGTGTGTATGTGTGTGTGTGTGTGTGTGTGTGTGTGTGTGTGGGTGCAGGTG